ATTATTAGTTATTTAATGACAACATGATTAGAACAATAATGGTTTAAAATTTATGTAATAAAATTTTAAAAAATAAATTGGAATGATTAAAAATGTGAAAGTTAAATAATAAAAATTTATAAGTTAATCACAAGAATTGAAGCGGTGATGTAAGTGAAGATAACAGTTATCATTTTATTTTGATATAAGAAAGATTGTTTTCTTGACTCTTGGAAAAGGAAATTGCTTCGTTGACTTTAGAGTAGGTATCTTGTGACGTAGTTTGAGTAAAGCTACTGATGACTTGCCATATAAACGTTTCAAGTGAGTTACTTGGAAATTACTCAACAAATTGTATGAAGCTCCATTCCATGTGAGATCTGACGGTGAAGAAATTTAAATTTTATTAAGGGGTTTTTCTCGGCTCTATTTTCTTCGAGAGGTCACTGGAAGTTTTCATATAATCGTTAATATTTGATGTAATAATTAATTAGTTTTGAATATAATGTTATAAAAATTTATTATAAAAATAATTATTTTATTTTTATTTTTGTTGATCTATTATAATGTCAAAACTTCAAAATGTGTATAATTTAGGGGCGGTTAGTTTGAAAATTGAGAAAGTAGAGGGTGACTTACAAAATGTGGCAGTTTTGGACGGTTAAGATTCGGATGTGGTCTGATTGAACGAAACAAAATAGCATCTATCATTAATGGATAACGTGGTGGACCTCTATCCAAACCTACCTATGGATTGGCATGGGACTCGAATATGACGGATTCTAACTCGATCTGATTTGATCGAGTTGGATTTTTAAAAATATTTAGGTTCGGGTTGGGTTAGATTCGGGTTTAAGGTGAAAACTATCCGACCCAAATTGGAAAAAATATTATTTTATCTTATATATTTAGAAATAATTACAATAATATCCCTCTATATATTTATTTTTTCAATTAAATCATTGTTTTTATTGAATAAAATAATAATTTTATTATTATTATTTCGGGTCGGGTCAGGTTCGAATTTTATCTCAAAAAAATAATTCGAGCTTAGGTCGGATGAAAGTTATATATTTTCGGATCGGGTCGGATCGTAAAATTTTATGGTCGGCCCATCCCTAAACCTACCCCATCACTCGCACGCTATTTTTCTTTTTACGAATAAATCTGTAACTTATTAATATCTCATGGAATTGTAAATTTAATTATAAATGTATAATTATCAATTTATCATCTATATTAAAGAAACATTATTAGAAGTAATAGGAAAATTGCTTTGGAGTCCCTTTAATGAAACTTTAGATTATTCTATTAATAAAGTTATACTTTTGCCAAGAAATAAAGTTTTACAAATACATCATAACTCAATATAACGATATACAGAAAAAATCTCCATGTTATTAGCATAATATTCTAACAATTATTTATTTAATTTTTAATAAAATACAAATTATAGAGAATTTAATTACAACTTAAATAAGTTTCTTTATTAAACCAAGGGATTACAAATTAGTATATATTCCAAATATTCTCAATCATTTGATAATGGACGCTCAATTATCTTTTCCGCACTCATTGATGTTCGAACCCGAACTTTTAGGAATAATTTAACTATAATACTATTTTTATAAATCTTAATTTAAAATGAAAAGAATTTTATATTAGATATTTTTAATTAATTTTCTCTTATCAACAAAATCAAGCTAAACTTTAGGGGGGACAAAATTCCTTATAATTAAATAAATTAAATAACAAGTTAGATCATAAATATACTTATGATAAAACTTAAAATTTAAATTAATAAAAAAATAATTTATCTTTTTTACTTTATTCATTTACGTTTATGATAAAAAGGAAATGTTATATCATGATATTTAGAAAGACTAAAATCTTCTTTACTTTATTCATTTACGTTGTACTATCAGTTAAGAATCGATCGAGAAAATAGATGGATAATTGTTCCCTTGAAAATTTAAAATTATCATATATTTTAAATTATTTTTATATAATTTTTGTTGAAAATTTATTTTCACTCATTGAATCTTATAAGTTTAAGTTCTTCCTTTAAATTTAAATTTATCTCCTTAACACAAAATCATGGATACGTTGATGTTGTCAATTGCTAAATAATCATTCTGGCATAGATAACTAATTTTGTCATTCTTCCCTGGCAGGCCTCTTTGCTGTAACTGGGCTACACGTGCTTGCTTAGTTGGGCTTCTCTCCTCCATTGTTTACTAGGCTCCATCTTGGTCACTGCTGCCGGGCAAGGTCTTCTCTTTTGGACTCAATGTTGTCCCGGTGAGTATAGGTGCCCCCGTAATTTCTTTTCTCATTATCTCACTATTCCCTCCTATTCCCAATTCCATTAGCCCTAACCCTATTTCCCTTTATCCCGTGTTCATCCCCGATTGCTGTCCTTTCAGTTCTAATTGCTCTCCCTCATCCCTAATGCTTTGGCTCCTGTCATAACACGATCGGTTTTGGGGTTTGGCGGATGATGGCGATGGGTGGGTTTCTGTTCTGTAGCGGCGGCGGCAGTAATGGCAGCGACCGACGATGGCTGTAATGAAAATTTGAAATTAGGAATTTAAAGTTTTGGGTGATTTTTTCGTATTTTCGTATTTTTTTATTTTTAAAATATATATTTTTTAAATTAAAAACGTAATATGTGTGACTTTATGAATGACTTACGATTTTTTAACAACCGTGACGGATTATGTACTTAAAATAATAATAATGAAAACATTATATTCTTATATTTAGCGAAAAATATTTTATAGATACTTAAAGTGAAAAAGAATATTTTTATACACTAAGTTTATTGTTCGTTCATCTTTTACATGATTTAGTTAAGTAGTAAGTTGTATGTACCAAAAAATAATTAAGTAGCAAGTTGTGTAAGATAAAATATTGAGTGTAATTAATCTTTCTCAAAATAATTTATGGAAAGTCTGTTGTACAAATAATTTTTACAGTGAATCAAGTGTTTTCAGTGTAGGTAGTACAGACAAATTTTTACGTTAACGACGAACTTTTAAAATATAGAGAAGAAGAATTTCAAAAATTTTATAGACCAAAACATATCATTAATATATGTTAAGCAAATATTAAAAGAGTGAGGTGGGGTGTGTGCTGAGTGAAGTTGTTGAAATTTGTTATAGTGTGGATCCCAACTAGTGCCAGCTGGTGTGCGGTCATTTGGGTGCATGGTGAGTATGATTAGTGATTGGTCGTGGCTGTAATAGGTTCTAATGCCATCTTTGTTGAAAGCTTGGTCACTTGGTTGACTGATGTTGGTATCGGTTTGATCAGTACTTTCCGTCCGGGTGTTGGTGCCACGATTGCTTTGAGTGATTCTTCTCATGGTGTTCAAAATCCTTCGGTGAATACGTGCACTTTTGCTACTAATGTTGTGGGTCGTGGTTACTCTTGTGTAGGGGTGATGGGGTTTCTCATGCTGCGTTGGTTGGTTAATATGGTCGAGGTACTACGTCCACTCCATACAATAGTAATCAGTGTTCCTCATGATATGTTGACTCTGGGGCAACGCATCATATTACCATCGAAGCTACACTTGTTGAGGATAACACAACTTTTCATGGTCCCGATAAGCTTGTCAATGGTGATGGTAAAGGGTTGTATATTGCTAGTGTGGGTCGTTCTTCTTTAGCTACATCTACTCCTGCTTTGCAATTGAATAATTTACTTCATATGCCCAATGTTACTAGAAAACTTCTTTCGGAGTCTAAGCTTGCCAGATACAACGAGGTATTTTTGGAGTTCCATGCTCAACAGTGTGTTGTTTATGATAGAGAATTTGATGCGGTGTTACTTGAAGGACGAGAGGTTGAAGGTTTATATGAATTTGACACTACTTTAGCTTGTTCGAAGGATAGACGTATTAAATCACATGTTTCTTGTGCAACTAGCATGGATTATGAAGTATTGAATATGCGACTTAGACATCCTTCTCATGATGTGTTAATGAGAGTGTGTAATTCTTGTAATATGTTCTTCGGAATACGTTGAATAAAACACTTTGTATTACGTGTCAAATGGGAAAAAATCATAGATTGTCGTTTATTGCATCACAAACCAAGTATGATGTATCGTTTTAATTGGTGTTTATGAATCTTTGGGGTTCCTCCTTATATATCATCTAATGGGTTTCGGCATTACATTACGTTTGTAGATATGCTTATTCTCGATATGTGTGGGTTTACTTGTCGCGTGATAAGCCTCAAACGTTGGGTGCATTTCTCTTGTTTCAACAAATAGTTCAAACTCAATTTGGTGTGTGTATTAAGGAAGCTCAGAGCGATAGGGCAGGCGAGCATCATCGGTTGTCCAAAGTTCTTCAAGATGTTGGTGTCATCCATTATGTTACATGTCCCCATACATCTTAACAAAATGGGGTTGTTGAGCGCAAGCATCATCATGTGGTGCATATGGCCTTGACGTTGTTGGCTCAAGTTTCATTGCTCTTGAAATTTTGGTTGTATGCCGTTGTGACAGTTGTACAGTTAATCAATTGTTTACCTACTAAGGTTCTTCTTGGTAAGTCTCATTTCGAGAAAATGTTTGGTGAGGTGTCGAGTTATGATCACTTAAGGGTATTTGATTGTCGATATTTTCCTTGTTTATGGCCATTTCAGTCTCACAAGTTTAATTTCCTATCATAACCGTGTACGTTCCTAGGTTATAGTCTGAATCACAAAGGGTATTGTTGTTTGGCGAACGATAAGTGTGTCTATATATCTTGGCATGTGGTATTTGATGAAACAATATTTCCTTTTGCTACCAATGTTGCTGCTGGTTCCTCGGGCACTTCTTCTAGAGGTGGTTCGAATGTTGACATTTTTGTTGAGCCTAGTGTTGGAAATATGTTGCGTGAGGCTATTGGTTCTTGTTGCAACCGGATCAAGGGGAACAATTGTTGCCCAATAATAATGAGCATCGTGAGAAATTTGTCTTGGTCACCATCTGTTGAATAATCGGGTAAAGAAAACAGAAAGAACACAAGAGTTTTAACGAGGTTCAGTAATGTGCTTACGTCCTCGGTGCCTTAGGCGGCGCTAGAATTTTTATTCAATGCAATGTCTCATAGGTTTAGGTTGTATCTCCTTTTATAATAAATAAATCATGGTACATATTTACAAAAATAACCCTATACCATACCACGGGGTCGCAACCCCGCACACCCAACCCACATAATCGTAACCCCCACTCTGAGACTTTCTCGGTATATTTATGAGTCATACCTAACAAATCTCCACATTGGTGAATATCCTGCCCCTTAGGAAACATTCAATGTGGGTTGGGTTACCTTACTTCTTTAACAACTCGAAACACTCAACAAGTCCAAGCAATATATGAACTTGTCTGTCGTAACTGGCTTGGTGAACATATCAGCGGCATTCTCATCAGTATGTACTTTCTGAAACAAAATCTCTCAAGATGCAACCAACTCTCTGATCTTGTGAAACCTTACATCAATATGATTAGTTATAGCAAAATATACATGATTCTTAGCCAAGTGAATAGTACTTTGATTGTCACAAAACAACTGAACTCCACCTTGCTGAACACCCAACTCCTTCACTAAATCAGTAAGCCATAAAGCTTCTTTTGCTGCTTCAGCCGCTGCCATGTATTCAACTTCAGCTGTAGATAATGCCATAACAGATTAAAAAGTAGACTTCCAACAAATAGGCCCTCCACCAAGTGTAAAGACATACCCTGTCGTAGATCTTCTATTATACAAGTCATCTGCATAGTCTGAATCCACATATCCTACAACCAAAGGATTATCCCACTGACTACCAAAAATAATTCCATGTCCTACAGTACCTTTTAAGTACCTAAAGATTCACTTGATTGCTTCCTAATATTGCTTACCAGGGTTAGACATGTACTTACAAACTTGACTAACAACATGAGCTAAATTAGGACGAGTACATACCATTGCATACATCAAGTAACCAACATCATTAGAATACGAAACCTTTGCCATATCTTCAGCTTCCTTATCTGTCTTAGGGCACTGTTCTGATGAGAGCTTAAAGTGATTCACCAATGGAGTGCTCACTGGCTTTGCGTTGCTCATCGCAAACATTTCTAGCATTTTCTCAACATAACCCCGTTGAGATAGCCACAGTTTCCTTGAGTCTCTGTCACTGTAAATTTTCATTCCAAGAATTTTTTTTGCAGCACCTAAATCTTTCATATCAAATTCCTGACTCAATAAAGTTTTGAAACCGATAACATCATCCATATTCTTCGCATCAATTAACATATCATTAACATACAATAACAAAAAAATAAAAGAACAACAATCATACTCACATCGCTTGTAATCAATCTTGATCATATAGGAGTCAAACCGTTTGTATTATTGTCTCGGAGACTGTTTCAACCCGTGCAAAGATTTCTTCAATCTACAAACTAAATGCTCATTTCCAGGTTGAGTGAAACCTTCAGGCTGCTGCATGTAGATCTGCTCCTCTAAATCACCATGCAAAAAAGCAGTTTTAACATCCATTTGCTCTAAAAGCAAATCCCAACTAGTCATTAATACAAGTCTGAAGTTACCCTGACCATCAAATTTTGCAGCTTCGAATTTGGCTCCTGAGCTCTGGTATCAATTGTTGAATAATCGGGTAAAGGAAAAAGAAAAATACAAGAATTTTAACGAGGTTCAGCAATATACTTACGTCCTCGATGCCTTAGGCGGCGCTAGAATTTTTATTCAATTCAATGTCTCATAGGTTTAGGTTACATCTCCTTTTATAATAAATAAACCCTAGTATATATTTACAAAAATAACCCTGTACCATATCGCGAGGCCGCAGCCTCCAACTAACATAATCGTAACCCCCACTACGATACTTTCTCAATATATTTATGAGTCATACCTAACACCATCAGGAGTTGTTGATAATGGTGTTTTGTCGGTTTCTTCTTGTACTCCACTAGTTGATGAAGTGGCTCTTGAGCTGGGTAGTGAAGTGGTTGTTGCCTCGGTATGTGAGGTGGCTGTTGAACCGGGTGGTTAGGTAACCGTAGAATTGGGTGGTGAGGAGGCAGTTGACTCGAGTGGTGAGGTGATCATTGACCTTCATCATCATAATGTTATTGTGTAGACCTTGATGTTGTTGTTCACCCTGGGCTTGAGGATTCACTTTGTTCATTTGACATGGTAACCAATTCTTTGGTGTTTATTTCCAACGTTGACACGGTTTGTGATCAAGTGGGTGGAAGTGGTGCCAATTCTTCCATTCTGCCATTTAATTCTAATACTATGATAACAAGGAGCAAATATGGAATTTTTAAACCGAAGGTTTTTCATGATATAGTAGTTGGTCGTGGAGAGCTTGAACCAACGATGATTCATCAAGCCTTTGTTGTTCCCAAATGGAAGCAATCTGCAGTTGTCGAATATGATGCTTTAATTAATAATGACACTAGGACGCTAGTACCATTACATGAAGGCAGTACTCCGATTGGGTACAAGTGACTCTTTCATATAATGTGAAATCTAGATAGTTCGATTGAACGTCATAAAGCGAGACTGGTGGCAAAGGATTTTACCCAAGTCCTTGGACAAGATTTTTAGGACTTAATTAGTTCGGTTGTAAAAACTAAGACTGTGAATGTGGTGTTGTCATTGACGGTTCAAAGTAATTGGAAACTTCGTAAGTAGATGTGAACACTACTTTTTTTGAATGGTGACATGGTTGAGGATGTTTTTATGGTTCAACCTCCTGGTTTTAAGCACGAGTCTACCAATGAGGAGCGTTCGTTGTATAAGCTAAAAAAGACTCTTTATGGGTTGAAGCAAGCACCTCGTAATTGGTATGCTAAGCTCCGATCCTTTTTGCTTAGTATTAACTTTGTTGGAACCAAAGCGGATGAATCTTTGTTTGTTTGACACAATGATACTCGATGTGCCTTTATTCTTGTTTATGTGGATAATATAGTCATCACATAGAATTGTGATGAATTAGTTGAGGAGGTTGTACAATTGCTTGGGAAAGAGATTTCATTGAAGGATCTAGGTGAATTGAACTTTTTCCTTGGTCTTGAAGTTGATCGTTGTGAAGGAGTGTTACTTCATAATCAACGTAAAAATATATTTGTGAATTGTTGGAACGTGCAAGTATGAGTTATGCTAGGACTGTTCCTACGCCGATGTTATCCTCTCCCAAGTTATCTCGTGATGGTGGCTGTCCTCTTGACAATCCTCAATTGTATCGTAGTATGGTTGGTGGATTGTTATATCTAAGTCATACTAGATTGGATATCTCTTTTAATGTTAAATGTATTGCTCAATACATGCATCAACCATGTGAGTTGTATTGGTTAGCAGTTAAACGAATTTTGTGTTATTTAAGCGGCACGATGGAATATGGCTTGTTATTTCGTGCTTCGAAGACTGATGCTTCATTATGTTCTTTTTCGGATGCAGATTGGACGAGCAATTCTGATGATCGACGTTCTGTCGAGTTATTGTGTGTATTTTGGATATAATCTTATCTCTTGGTGTTCAAAGAAACAACGATTTGTATCTTGATCTACGTCAGAGGCTTAGAATCACGGTATAGCTGATGTAGTGTATGAACTTATGTGGTTGCAAGCATTACTTTGTTGATATGGGTATTGAGAATACGATGGCTTTGATTGTTTGGAGTGACAGTACCAGTGCAATGGCGATGAGTGTGAATCATGTGTTTCATGCACGATCTAAACATGTTGTGCCTGACGTTCACTTTGTTCGAGAACAAGTTGTGAATGGGTCAATTTGCGTTAATTATGTGCATGGACATTTTCAATTGGCCAATGGTTTTACCAAGCCTCTTTTAAATTCTTATTTTCCTTTGTTTCGTGCAAAAATGAAATATAATATCTATTCGAAGTAGATAAGATTAAGAGTCTCATTTTTTTTGATCGAATACAAAAACAACTGAAAATCGACCCATCTCACTCAATTATCATCTTTATATAAAATACATTACAAATTCAAAGGAAAAAAAGTTTTGTAACTCTAAATATTTCCTATCATTTCAACATTATTAACAGATAATTCAAAATACGAATCCCAAACCAAATAAAATAATTATTTAAATAAACCTTAAAATCTAACCGATTAGACGACAGTTATTATTGCTTTAAACCTGACCCCTTGGGCATGAAGAATTTAAATCGGGCCCAACTTTGTAGTGTGAAAGTAGGTATGTTTATGTTCGTTCGTTTAATTTTAAACGAACAAATAAAGAACACGAACATAAACGAACAAAAAATTTCTTGGTCATGTTCGTTCATGCTCGTTCATTTAAATGATAAAAAGACACAAATGAACGAACATAAACGAACAAATGTAAACGAACATAATAAATGAACATAAACGAACGTAAACGAACATAAATGAAAATATATATTTTTTCTTTTAGGATTATATTATATTTAATTGTTATGAGTTTTTTTTATATGAAATTAATTGAATTTTAAAATATTTATGGGTAACATATTACAATTTATTGAGCTTTAATATTTTAAATGGGTCTAGAGAGATTGGGCTAAATATAAATGAACACACATAAACGAACATAAACGAACGAACATATTACCGAACGTTGACGAGCGTTTATGAACAAACAAACCATCTGTTCACGTTCGTTCATTTAATTAAACGAACAGAAAATCTTGTTCATGTCCATTAAACGAACATAAACAAATTTCCGTCGAACAATTCCCTCAACATTAGATTCGTTTACAGGCATATGTGAAAGTGACACAATAAAATAAAACATTAATTAATTAACCTTTTCCCATCTCTCTTTGAAGAACGAAAGCATAAAATATTATCCAAAAACAGCAGCTTTAAACGGATATTTAACAAGCAACAAACATAAACTCATATTTTAATCAATTAAGTTCCTTATTTTATTATATTATTATATTATTATAATAAATTAAATCAAAAATCTGGATTTGTTATGAATCGGTTTCAAAGGAATGATACTGAAAATAT